GCTAGAATTTTGTTGAGGATTTTAGCATCTATGTTCATCAGGGATATTGGCCTGTACTTCTCTTTCTTTGTAGTGTCTTTATCTGGTTTTAGGATTAGGGTAATGTTGGCTTCATAGAAAGAGCTTGGAAGTGTGCCTTCCTCTTGAATTATTTGGAATAGTCTGAGAAGGATCGGTTTTAGTTCTTCTTTGAATGTTTGATAAAACTCCCCTGTGAAGCCGTCTGGCCTAGGGCTTTTGTTTGCTGGAAGTTTTTTGATTACTGCTTTAATTTCATCGGTAGTATCAGGCTATTCAGGTTTTTTGATTCTTTCGGATTGAGTTTTAGAAGCTTGTATTTTTCTAGGAAAATGTTCATTTTGTCAAGGGTGTCCAGTTTGTTGGAGTATAGTTGTTCATAGTATTTTTTTTTTTTTTTTTACAATCCTTTGTATGTCTGTGGGTCGGTTGTTACATCACTTCTTTCATTTCTGATTTTGTTTATTTGGGTCCTCTCTCTTTGTTTCTCTTGGTGAGCCTGGCTAGAGATTCATCAATGTTGTTTATCCCTTCAAAGAACCAGCTCTTGGTTTTATTGGTCATTTGTATTGTTTTTTTGGTCTGTCATTTATTTCCACTCTGATCTTTATTATTTTCTTCCTTCTGCTTACTCTGGGTTTTTCTTAAGGCTCTTTTTATTTTATTTAATTAATTAATTTATTTTACTATTAATGAATTTGTTTGTTGTATATGATAGCTTTTTAAATGTTAAAGATATTATAAAATATAACTTCACAGTGCTGTCTCAGCTGTTATTCTGTACCACTACAGGCACACCTTATTTTATTAGGCTTCACAGATACTGCTTTTTATAAATTGAAGGTCTGTGGCAACCCTTAGATGAGCAGGTCTATCAGTGCCATTTTTTCAGCAGCATTTACTCATTTTGTGTCTCTGTGTCACACATTGGTAAATCTTGCAATATTTCAAACATTTTCATTATTATTATATTTGTCATGGTGATTTGTGATCCGCGATCTTTGATGTTACTATTGTATTGTTTTGGGGTGTCATGACAAGTGAATGTAATCAATAAATGTGCGTGTTCTTACTGCTCCATTGACCAACTATATCTCTCTCTCTCTCCCTCGCTCCTTCTCTCCCTCTCTCTCTCTCTTTGTCTTTCCTTGGGCTTCCCTATTCCTTTTAACACAACAATATTTAAATTAGGTCAATCAATAACCCTCAATGGCTTCTTAAGTGTTCAAGTGAAAGGAAGAGTCTCTCACTTTAAATCAAAAGCTAGAAATGAGTAAGTTTAGTGAGGAAGGCATGTCAAAAGTGGAGACAGGCTGAAAGCTAGGCCTCTTGTGCCAGTTACGCAAGTTGTGAATATAAATGAAAAGTTCTTGAAGGAAACTGAAAGTGCCACTCCATTGAACACATGAATAATCATTAAGTGATACAGCCTGATTGCTGAAATGGAGAAGGTTAGTGGACTGGACAAAAGATCAAACCAGCTACCACATTCCCTTTAACCAAGAGAGGCGAGGAAGCTGTAAAAGAAAAGCCTGAAGCTAGTAGAGGTCAGTTCATGAGGTTTAAACTGTCATCACAACGAAAGTGCAGTGCTGATGCAGAAGCTGCAGAAAGTTATGTAGAAAATCTAGCTGAGATTATTACTGAAGATGGCCACACTAAACAACAGTTAACCTTCTACAACTTTCATAGCTAGAGAAGTCAATACCTGTCTTCACAGCATCAAAGGACAGACGGAGTCTCTGGTTAGGGGCTAATGCCCTGGCGACTTTAAGCTGAAGCCAGTGCTCATATACCATGCCATAAATCCTATGGTGGTTAAGAATCATGCTAAATCTTCCCTGACTGTGCTTTACAAATGGAACAACAAAGCCTGGAAGAGAGCACATCTGTTTACGACATGGTTTACTGAATATTTTAAGTCTACTATCAAAACCTACTGCTCAGAAAAAAAGATTTCTTTTAAAATATTATTGCTCATTGACAAAATACCTGGTGACCTAAGAGCTCTGATGAAGATGTACAATGAGATTAATATTTTTTTCTTGCCTGCTAACACAACATCCATTCTGCAGCCCATGGTTCAAGTCTTATTATGTAAGAAATACATATATGGCTACTAGAGGCCCAGTGCAGAGATTTGTGAACCAGTGGGGTCCCTCAGCCTGGCCTGCGCCCTCTTGCAATCTGGGTAGTAGTGCGTGAAGTGGCAGGCAGCCAGGGAGGAGCCTGAGCTCCAGCTGGGTGCTGCGCTGCTCCCGCTTATCCTGGCGCCGTACCTGCCACCGCCTACGCTTGGTAGCGCTGCCGCGGATGTGGGAGAGGCTTGTGCTGCTGCAGCTGTGCTTGCCAGCTGTGAGCCTGGCATCTGGTGCCCGTTGGTCACCTGAGCGGCGCTCCCACTGTGGGAGCGCACTGACCACCTGGGGGCAGCTACTGCGTTGAGTGTCTGCACCCTGGTGGTCAGTGTGCATCATAGTGACTGGTTGACTGGTTATTCGGTCGTTTGGTCGCTTAGGCTTTTATATATAGAGACTAGAGGCCCGGTGCACGAAATTCGTGCATGGGGGGGGGGAGGGTCCCCTCAGCCCAGCCTCCACCCTCTCCAATCCAGGACTCCTCGAGGGATGTCCGACTGCCGGTTTAGGCCCGATTCCCAGTCGGGCATCCCTCTCACAATCCTGGACCGCTGGCTCCTAACTGCTCATCTGCCTGCCTGCCTGCCTGATAGCCCCTCACTACCCCCCTGCTGGCCTGATCACCCCTAACTGCCTCTACCTGCTAGCCTGATCGCCCCCAACTGCCCCCCCCTCTGCTGGCCTGGTCGCCCCACGCAGCCTGCTGCTCGGTCATTTGGTCACCCCTCACTAAAACCCCTGGCCGGCCTGGTTGCCCCACTCAGCCTGCTGCTCAGTCGTCCGTTTGGTTGCAATGGTTGCTTAGGCTTTTATATAGATAGATAGCTGCCATAGATAGTGATTCCTCTGATGAATTGGGACAAAGTCAATTGAAAAGCTTCTGGAAAGGATTAACTATTCCAGATGTCATTAACATCATTCATGATGCATGGGAAGACATCAAAATATCAACATGACAGGAATTAGGAAGACGTTTATTCCAACCCTCATGGATGGAATTCAAGAGTTCAGTGAAAGAAGTAACTGCAGGTGTGGTGGAAATAGTAAGGGAGCTAGAATCAGAAGTGGAGCCTAAAGATGTGACTGAATTGCTGCAATCTCAAGATAAAACTTTAATGGAGGGGGAGTTGCTTCTTATAGGTGAGCAAAGAAAGTGGTTCTTGAGATGAAATTTACTTTGGGTGAAGATGCTGTGACGGTTGTTGAAATGGCAACAAAGGGCTTATAATAGTACATAAACTTAGTTGATAAAGCAGTTGACAAGGTTTGAGAGGATTGGCTCTGATTTTGAAAGAAGTTCCACTGTGTGTAAAATTCTATCAAACAGCATCATATGCTACAGAGAAATCATGTGTGAAAGGAAGAGTCAATAGTTGTGGCAATCTTTATTGCTGTGTTATCTTAAGAAATTGTCACAGTCACCCCAACCTTCAGCAATCACCACCTGATTAGTCAGCAGCCATCAACATTGAGGCAAGAACCTCCACCAACAAAAAGATTAGGATGCTTAAGGCTCAGATGATGGTTAGCATTTTTAAGCCATAAAGTATTTTTAAATTAAGGTATGTACATTGTTTTTATAAACAATAATATTGCACACTTAATAGACTACGGTATAGTGTAAGAACTTTTATATGCACTCGGGAACCAAAAGTTTGTGTGATTTACTTTATTGTGATATTTGCTTTATTATGATGGTCTGGAACCAAATCCACAATATCTCCTGGGTATGCATGTGTGTAAAACAAAAGATTTTTAAAATATACCATCCTATATAATAAAAGGCTAATATGCAAATTGACTGAACAGTGGGACGACTGGTCGCTATGACACTCACTGACCACCATGGGGCAGATGCTCAATGCAGGAGCTGCACCCTGGTGGTCAGTGCACCCCCACACGGAACCAAATCCACAATATCTCCTGGGTATGCATGTGTGTAAAACAAAAGATTTTTAAAATATACCATCCTATATAATAAAAGGCTAATATGCAAATTGACTGAACAGTGGGACGACTGGTCGCTATGACACTCACTGACCACCATGGGGCAGATGCTCAATGCAGGAGCCGCACCCTGGTGGTCAGTGCACCCCCACACAGGGAGCACTGCTCAATCAGAAGCCAGGCTCACGGCTGGTGAGTGTAGTGGCAGTGGCAGGAGCCTCTCCTGCCTCTGTGGCAGGCGGACATCCCCTGAGGGGTCCCAGACTGCGAGAGGGTACAGGCCAGGCTAAGGGACCCCCCTCCCCCAGTGCATGAATATCGGGTACCGGGCCTCTAGTACTGTTAAGAAAAAGCCAGTTTAAAAAAGTACTTTAAATTTTTTTGTTCCAGAACAAATCTCTGCTATTTTTTTATTCTTTTTTATTTTGCTTTCTGAATAGTCAGCCAAATGAAATTGAGAGGAACAAAATTGATTAAACCAGTTTTCTGAAATCAGTTCGAGTCATTGTTGATCAATAAACATTAATTAAGGGGTTCAGCATTACAGATAATGCATAAAACATACTAAATAGTTAAGTGTGATAATGAGAAATGAATGGCTATATGAAGTAACTAAATTTCATTGAATTTCTTTCTTTATAACATTATTTGAAATATATATTAGCATGGCAAATGAATTTATAAGAGAAATAAATTATATTATTATGTGTATATACTGCCCATTTAATAACACTCTAATATATCACAGTATGAGAGAAATGCACCCTAGAGAAAATGCTGCTATTCTTCATAGAAAAATCCATGAGTCACATTATGCAACAATTAATTGATGATAAATGATTTAATTCTAGAACTCAGAATAGCTTATTTAAATGCCATCAGAAAAAAACCCCTTACCCGCAAAAAGGAGTCTAGGGATCCATTCTCCATATATTCCACCACAATCATAACTGGCCGGCCTGCAAATAGAGCAAGGGAACACACAGGATTAGAGCAATCACAGAAATATGTGCTGCAGTTAGAGATTTCCAGCTGCGGCAGCTAAATTATTTGTATTTTATTAATAGGAATTTCATTTTCCAACATGCTTCTATAAAAGTACTCATACTACACACCTCTCCATTTCTTTATAGCATTATTTGAGTTCATAAAAGGAACATGAATTACAATATGAATTACAAAAGAATTAAGCACTTCCTTTTCTAAAGCCCTGCAATCACTCGTTTGTTTAGATTACGTTCTTTTTGTCTTGAGCTTTTCCTTAAAAGATAATCAACAAGCTGAAGTCAGGGTTTGAATAGTTACTATAGCTGCTTTGGTAACAGTGCTACAACTTCTATAGTGGTGCAGTAATCATGGCTGAATTACATCAGACTGAGCATTTCCGAAATATTCCTAAGGCAAAGCAGAAAAGAGAAATTCATAAATTCTCTTTAAGAAATGATAAACCATCGGTCATAGTCTGTTTTTAAAGGCTTTTAAGTAGAAAAATGCCAGTAGATTGATGAATGTTACCAAGTTGGTGGGATCTGTAATAATTCTTGATCATCTCTTTATTGGACATAGATTAGATCAACAGAACAATGATGGCAGTACATGAAAAATAAGTAACTCTGATTTCGTAGTCTAGTGCAGAAGCTAAAATCAGAAACTGAACATCATTTCTTTTATATTATATCTATTTGCAACTGTTACAGTTCCTAATACCTCTATTAGGTAGCATATTTGACATAAGTAACTTTGATTTGTTTCAAAGAAAATAATCTATTTGTTCTGCTCAATTTCCCGAGTTTAAAAGATAAACTCATTTCAAATGAAGGGAAAATGTTATTTACCTGAAACAAACATGTATGACATATTTACTTTTTACTTCTATATTTCTTGCTTCTCATTGGAATTTTTAGCAATTTAATCTGCACTGTGCACAGAGTTTTTCCTTATGAGTATAAAGATCCGGGAAGAAATTATGTGTACCAAACATGGAAAAATTAGGGCTCATGTAATCATGGAAAATTAAGTCTCATGTTGTAAGTCATGTCCTTTTTACAAGTCTAAGCCTTGTGGGTTAGAAAGGGTGATAGTAACAAATTAGTACAATGTCTGCAAATGCTAGATTTTTACAGTTGAATCTGTATTTTAAAGAAAGATGTGCTAAAGGTTAAATGTAATAATAAAGTTCCCAATTTATCATGCATAGAATTAGAACCCAAAGAAGACATCCATTTTGTTGGATCTCTATAATGTTCCCTAAAGTCATTAATTTCACCCAAATACAGATAAAGAACTTTATCAGAAAATATTGAGGTCAAATGAACTGTCAGCACTATTATAATCAGTGACCTAGAAAATCAGGTTTTAAATCTGAAAGTTTGTAATGAATTTTTTAATTTGACTATTGATTTGAAAGAGCTTAGAGACAAGGAGCCTGATGTAAATAAACACTTGGTTAGCAAGGTAGGGAAAAATAAAAGGTCATCTTACTATCCTACTATCCTAATAAAAGGGTAATTTGCAAATTAACTGTCACTCCGTCATAAAGATGGCAGCGCCCATAGCCACAAGATGGCGGTGCCCAGTCCTCTCAGCCCTGCCGGAGTCCCCCAGTCCCAGGGGGCGGGGGGCGGCTGGTTAGAGTGGCCAGCATGAGCGGCCAGGCAGAATGCTTGCTTTGAGGCCCTGCCCAAGCCATGGTGGAGGCTTGAGTGGAGCCAGGGGGCCCTGCCCAAGCCACGGTGGAGGCTTGAGTGGAGCCGGGGGGCCCTGCCCAAGGGGGGTTGTGCCAGCCGTAGCTTGCCAGCAGTCTTGCCTCTGCGCATGAGCTGCAGGGGAAACACCTTTTCTGACAGCTCATTGGCTAAGCTCCCTGTATGCCACTGGCAATGTTCTTGGTAACTTGGGTAATAAGAATCCAAGAAGGTGATCTAGGGTTTTTCTACCTCACTCCTGGAGTAAAAAACGAGGTCCACTGCTGGAAGGGCTAAGAAATGTCATATCCTGCCCTAGCCGGTTTGGCTCAGTGGATAGAGCCTTGGCCTGTGGACCGCAGGGTCGGGTTCAATTCTGATCAAGGGCATGTACCTAGGTTGCAGGTTCCTCCCTTGCCAGGGCCCAGGTCAGGGCTCATGCAGGAGGCAACCAATCGAAGTGTCCCTCTCACATTGATGTTTCTCTTTGTCTTTCCCTCTCTCTTCCATGCTCTCTAAAAATCAATGGAAAAATATCCTCAGGTGAGGAGAAAAGAAAGGAAAGGAAAGGAAAGGAAAAAGGGAAGGAGGAAGGAAGGAAGAAAGAAAGAAAGAAAGAAAGAAAGAAAGAAAGAAGGAAGGAAAGAAGGAAGGAAAAGAAAAGAAAGAAAGGAAAGAAATGTCATATCCTATGAAAGACACATCTTGAAAATGCCTAAAGAAAGTTGTCATTTTTTCATGGTGAAGGAACTGGAGTCTGTGTTGATGAAAACACCTTGGCAGCTGTGGCAGCCAGCAGTGGCAGCAGCAGTGGGGTGATGGGGCTGGCACCTTCTCCTGATCAGCCCGGTCGCCTTCCGCAGAGGGAGGCCACTCTCTGAGTGGGCCTAAGCCATCAGTAGGACATCCCCTGAGGGCTCCTGAACTGTGAGAGGGGGCGGGCTGGGCTGAGGGCCCCCCCCCCCCGCCCCAGTGCACGAATTATGTGCACTGGGCCTCTTGTATAAATATAAAAATTCTGAGACCAATATACCAGTTTGATGTATAATATATAATAGATTATGGATGTTAAGAGGAAATGTTGGGTTACTACAATGACTACCTGAGTTCTTCTGCACATAGTCACAATATTTCAATCTACCTTGACCATATTTAACTTTTTAAAAATAAAATTTAAAAAATATTTATCCTCTCCCTAAGAATGTCAGTCTTATTAGAATAAAAAGAGTTTGCAAGCACTTCACTTATATTGATACATGCTATTATTATCCCTATTCCACAGATAAGAAAATTGAGGGATAGAAAGTTAAATTGCTTGCCTAAAGTCAAACAGCTAGTAAATGGTAGTATCAGGCAGTCAGTCTCAGAACTTAAGCTCTTACCCTTCATGCCATGGTGCCTCTCAGACACTGTTTATAGATCAAAGATGTAAGCCTCTGTTAGCCAATCCTCATCTCTCCTAACCAGCCTTTTCGTTTCCTGATCCATCAGTTGTCATTACCACCTATACTTGTTCATTTCTGTCTCCTTCTGCCTTTCCTTTTGGTATTCCCCTGCCAGGATTACCTCCCAACTTGCTTCTCTCTCTAAACATCTCACCTCACAGCTCCCCAGATTGTATACACTGCACCTGTTCCTTGAGAGTCTCCCACAGTGATATTTCCTATAGCTGCATTCCCATCACAACTTTGTCTGCATTCTGACATGTGCCTGGTTTTATATTAGGTTGCTTTTCTTTATCTTCCCATAGATGCTTTGTATCCTTATTCACTGGGTTTCTCAAGGCCACCTCCCATGCAGCTGAGAAGAGTAGGTGCTTCATAGAAACAAGTTGATTTTTCTCATCAATTTCACAATTCCTGAGAAAGTAACCCTGAAGTATTTCAGCAAGATTTTGATCTACATGGATACAAAGTACTTTGAAATTAGTTCTATCTATAACTTCTTGGGAGATACTTCATGCAATCCTAAAATTCATCAGTGACAAGTTCAATCTTCTCATTAAAGATAATAAAGAATCCAGTGAAGACTCCCTAGGTTTCTCGTGAATTATACGTTTCACACCTGAACTGCATCTTTTGTATTTTGTCCAGTAGCATCAACTGACAGCAGCTGTTGTTAAACTAAGGCATTTTTTAGAATACTGTTTGTTTCCTAGTGTTTTCTATAGGGAAGTTAGTTACACTATGAAGGTTACAAGCAACTTTACAGTTCATGGTTACACTTTATAATCAAGAAAATAGATAAGTCTAAGGGAAATTAAGGAAATTAGGACAGTATTCTTCAATACCTGATCAGGTGAGAGAAGTCATTGGTGACAGTATTTTTGTCTTATTTTTTAATATGTAAAAAATATATATTGCATTGTTTTTGGAAAATACATTTAGAGGTGATTAATTCTCTTTTTATATTTTAAAGATATTTCACTTTTTTCTTTTTTACAATTTTAGCCACTTATTCCAAGTGCCTTACATCACAGAATCAAATTAGTACTTGCATTGTACTGAAATCAATGAACAGATCCCAGGATTCTTGAGTCAGTCAAATCTCAAAATTCACAGATGTTTTTAGAAGCCTCATCAGTTTGATTTAAGAGATTTTCAAAAATATTTCTACAAGTCACACAAAAAGTGATTTTTTTGTTTTTTCTTCATAAATAGCCCAGGGATGGTTATAGATATTTTAAACAGTATTGGAATCAATACCCTATAAGAAATCACTTATTTATATTCTGAACACAATGGATCATAAGATTCCATGTCATTTTTTTCTGTTGTAGAGAACAATGGTTTTCTTTAATTGGAACTTTTATGAACTACTACGGTAACTAATAAATCTTTTTCAAATTGGCAGCTTCCCAGTGCTGAAGCTGATTTAATGTAGGTGGTGTTAAGAAACCATGTGATGATGAGACTATAATTTCTTGTGCTATTGTTAAAGAAAACAAAAGAAAGGCATTTTTTAAAAAAAATCTTGGGGAAAATATTTTCTGAGTGAATTATTTTTTTTTCTTTTTTGCTTTAGCGATGATTTGTGAAAGAAGGGGATTACCGAGATTTAACATTTTCATAGAAATAATGAGTTTGTACTGAATGTAGTATTCTGTATCAGCTTGGCAGTTTCTAATGTGCAGTCAGTAATATCAAGAATCAACAATCCAAAAACTCTATTACAGATTTACATCAATTCTAGTTTATTTAACATTATATCATGTATATATTTTGTCTACCAGGTAATAAAATTTGTGATAATAACTTGGATTGTCAGATTGCCTG